GACGATCACTAATCAGCCAACAAAATGTGTTCAAGAAACAATGTGGAGAATTGGATGCGGCTGTTGAAGCCAGCCTAGAAATATCTGCTTTAATAGCCAAGAATGGGAAACCTTTCACAAATGGCGATATGATAAGAAAGTGTCTTATCATCGCAAGTGAGATGTGTCCTGAGAAGTCAGTGTTTTCAAACAGTCTTAACCACATGACGATACAACAAAGAATCTCGCAAATTGCATCAGACATCGCATTAATCACTTGGAGGTCTGGCCCCCAGTCAGTAAACTTAATCCTAATTTGGCCCTTCTTCAGAAAAGGTTGTGCATCCCTGATTTAAGTGAAAGCAAATTGTTCAACTTTAGCTTTGCAGGCTACTTTCAAAACCTTTGCAGTCGACCGCAGTCTACGTGTTGGCCATCCCTGCTATATATCCTTCTATATTTCTGAACATTCCAACAAATTCAGAAGAGCCAATATCATCGTCAATATTAACCATATCCTCAGAAATTTGCAGATATTTTCCACAACTTGGCCCTAGGATAAAACAGCCATGTAAATTACATCCATGATTGATTTCAAAATGGAGATTGTCTTTTTCTTCATTTTTTTCAGCTTCCTGTTCAGTAAGTTTGCTGAACAACTGCTTTCTGTAATGCACTTTAAAGTTTCAAGAACTCCCTGATCTATCAGCTGTATTAATGCTGTTACATAGGTGAAAAAAAATGTAACTGAATATCCCCACTAACCAGTTCTTCTGTTGAATGAGATAGGGCTTTGTCAACTAACAAAATCACTTTCAATGGCAAACCTTTTTTTTTAAGTAACTTTGTACACTTGGCATAAAATTGTGAAAAAACCATTCTTTAAAAATCACACTATTCATCCAAGTGCAAGTTCCAGAAAAGTGCAAGAACTTTTCTTGAACTTGTAAACAACTGGCAAAGAAAAAATGTTTGTTAAGCTAGGTGCTTTAAAATGTACGGATTTTCCAACCAATACAAGGGGTAATTTATGTTTCCCTGAAGCATTATTGCAAGCAAGCAATCTGATCCTCTCTTTGCTTTTCTTTGTAATCTCTAGCCGAATCTTCTAATTTTGAAACTAAGGTCTTTCTTGGCAGCATCTTGTAAAAATGACAGCAATTTCATTGGCATTATGAATTTGATTTGGCTTTAGCTTTTCAGACTCAATTATTTTCTTAAGTTCATTTTGAAAATGTTCACTACCTACAGTATCACTGGAAAGACCAGACACTGCAAGTTGACGTACACCATGATGAATTTTTCACCTATTTAACCGTTCTTGGCTAGCCATGAACAAGGGATCCCATCAGGTAGCTTGCTGTTTAAAACTTAATGCTTTCTCCTGTAAAATTGGACCTGATATCATAATGTCATGGTCTCACTGATCACTGAACCATAACAATGTGTCATCAAGTGATTCATATTTTGCCTTCTTTATTGTTCCTTGAGTTTGCAGTCTGTATTTGGAAATCATTTTGCAACAAAAATCTTCAATTTCTTTATGATTCTTCTTCCAATCTGACACAGTTGAAGTTCCAACTCCAAACTCTGTAGCAATGGTCTTCAATGATTTGCCTTTATTGATTCTGTGGAAGGCTTCTAATTTCTTCTTCATCATAACAATCAATTTTTTTTTTCTTTTAGATGTAATTTTCATGATGTTTACTGTACTATACTTCACAAGACATTGAAGGTAACTGAAACTCAGTGAAACAGTACTGTAGCTGTGGGTGTTGAGTGATACACCTAATACAGTGCAGTCAATAACTCACAAGATAGTAAATGATAAACTTACACTACTGTACTGTGTTGGTTATTTTCTATCAGCTGGTACAGTACATATACATAAGTTTCCTGACCATTTCTATGGGGTAGGACTTCTCTTTATGACCTTATTCAAGGTCAACCAGTAATTAGGATGAGCACTCTGTAGGGAAACCAAAAGACTAATTTGAACTGGAGTAACTTTAATGTGTGCCCACCAGTGGCCAAGTGGTCTTCGTACCCTAAACACTGGGAGTTCGGTTGTGGGTTTGTGCCGCGATCGGACAGGCTGGCTGTTTGGAGTTTTCCAGGTTTTCTCCTTGCCAATAATGACTAAATAGGAGGCCAGTTCCCCATAAAAGTCCTCCCGGAAGGCATTAGTTCCCCTCACGTAACATTGCGCCCCAGAGAAGGCAACGGGAAACCACTCTGGATACTAACTTTCTCTAATAACGCCTTGGCGTATTTACTAACTACTTACTAATCTGCACCGGGTGTGGCCGAGGTCGGGAAAACCTGATATGGCACTATGAGATGAGAGAACTTTAATGTATTTATTTTTGTTACCATATCCTTGGTTATAGTCATAGGTGTTTAAAATTGGCATTGAGCCAAGGGTGCAACATTATATTCAGGCAAGAATGTACTACTAACAAGTTAGTTCTTTGATTTGTTCGCATATGTAGGTTTTTCCATATGTTTATCTTTCTTATTCCAGATAAATCAGTTCCATTGTATTTATATACGACCTGATACACTTGTAGTACCAATTAATCAGCTGGATTTTTAACAGGCTATGTTAAGGTTAATTAATAATCAAATAAAAAAGCAGTTTGGCTATAGATGGGCAGTTAAGCTACAATCTTATGATAAATTTAATAAGTAAAAATAAATTTTTAATTTAAAATATTCTGAATTAGATCTAGGTAGTGTAACTATCAGTCTGCATGGTAGGTTCAAGTCCTGCTCCAGGTTGACCTTTTCTTCCAAAATACTCAAAATTAAAAATTTATTTCTAATTATTAAATTTATAATGAGATGGCAACTTAACTGCCTACCTATAGCCAAGTTACTTTATATCTGATTATTACTTAGTCTTAATTTAGTCCAATAAATAATCCAGCTGATCATTTGATACAAATTTAGAAGAAAACTGAGAATAAAGTCAATAAAAATATTCTAAAAAGAATCGATGGAGTCAGATAATCTATTTTTTTACCGTACTGTACTATTCTTTAGTACACGGAAAACTGCTAGTTTTCCATTCGTTTCTGACTTTTGGAGGCTTAATAAGTTCCGAGTCCGTAGACTGGTATAAAAAATTAAAAAAGGTAAACAGGTTAACAAGGAAAATATACTTTTATTTTTATGTAAATATATACTTCACCCCAAGTGCAACACATTTTTAACAATGTCTCCGACACCACCTATAAATTGGAGAATTGATTGGCAACTATTAGTGATGTCATGAAAGTGTGTTTAGACTTTGTTATAGGAGTTGTTGGTATGATATGATGATACAATGTTTCTTTTTCAGCACTTGCTATATTCAAAACACATTTTCTTATACAGTACTTCTTTTCTTGATACTCGAAACACTTTTTAAAACATTACAAGTGATTCTAACATTCTGATCAATTGTATTTGATAGCTTAAGACTTTTCTCATATATTGTTTTATTGTTTTTCTTGTATAATGTTTTTGAAGTTTTGGGATGTAATTATATATTTTTTCTTATATAAACATTGGCTGAAAGACATGTAGAGAGGACAAGTTTTATGTAGTTTGGATGTTAAATCAAGAGACATTCTACTGGGAAAACATTAAGCGGGAGATGCCTATAATTTTTATTTTTTGACTTGATGAAATTGGTCAAATTGGTATATGCTTAAAAGTGTTTCTTTATTAGAAAAGTGTTAGAAAAAAAATTGTTAGAAATTTCCTAATGCAAATGCTCTTTAAAAATTGAACCACTAATGCTCTAATCAAAGAAGTAATTTCAGTGATTAATATTTAAAGATTCTGTAATTTTAAGTATTAAAATTAAAGTATTTGAAGTATTAAAATATTAATTTATTAAATATATTTAAATTGCATTTTTTTTTCAGCTGGAGGTGTTGGTAAAAGTGCCTTGACAATACAGTTGATTCAGAATCAGTAAGTTTGTAAAAATATTAGTAGTTATAATTACTAGTAGAACTTTTACTGATCTTTAATATTATGATAAGGGCTGTCCATAAATTACTTCTGCATTTTTCTTGAAATTTTTACTCCGCCTTTCCCTCTTGACCCAGTTTGTCAAAGTTTCCATAACCTCTTCCCCTCTTCAGATGTCCAACAACACTTGACTCCTCTTAAAACTTCTATCATTTTATAAATGATAGATACTGTAAGTTGAAACAAAACAGAGAAAATTTCAAAATAAATATAATCTTCTTTCCTAGGGTTTATCCCACATTGGGCAGAGTTTTCTTGTTTACATGCATTCCTCCATTTTACCCAATCTAGTGCATCTTTTGGTGAAATTCCCATTGTTTCCATATCTTGTGTAATTTACACAAACCACCATTTTTTGGGGGACATCCACAAGGTCTAGTTTACCCCAGCCATTGTGTTGTTGTCACTGCACATAATGTAGGCATATGTATAGTTCAGCTTCTTGCATCTTGTCCTTAATCGACCTAACTCCTATTTCTTTTCTGATGTCATCTTAGCATTCTCATTTCCATGGTTTGTAACACATCATGTTTCTTTATGACAGGCCAGTATCCTGACTGATACATTGCTACTGATTGGATGACTGACTTGTAAATTTTTGCCTTAAGATGCATTGGCTTTTTTTTTTTTTATCTCAAAGCACTCTGGTTACCTCTCTCCATTTCAATGCTGCCATTTCATCCAGACAGCATTCAATCATGCACAAATGTCTGGTGTTATTTTGCTATCTGTTGAGCTAAGGGAGCCTAAGTATTTTTTATTTTGTAGTAATTATAATTTCTTGGCCATCTATTGGGATTTTTCTATTTGTTTGTATGCTACATCCTAAATATTCAGTTTTCTGGATGTTTAATCCTTCCAGTTTGGACATCATTTATGGACAATCCTATAGACAAAAACATTATTTAATATTAAATTCTTTTAAAAACAGTTGTTTTTTTTTTATTAGCATTGGCATTAACTTTGGCCTTGACTCATGATATAATTATGCACTGTTTAATGTTTATGGTTTTTATAAATATCCTTTTCCTTAAAATGATAAACTAAGTTTTCATTGTTTATGCATACAAAAAAAAATAGGAAAATGATTGAAGAGAATAAAGAATGAATACAATACAATACAATTATTGGTGATTATTGTAATTGATTTAATGTAAACCTTACAGTAAGAAAATATTTTCTTCAAATTTGAGTAAACTTATGTCATATTGTATGAAAGAAACATAAACTGCTGTTTCAGATAGTTAAAATTTTTTGTTTAAAAAATATCTGAAACAGCAGTTTACGTTTCTTTGTATCAATTGGCTCCATATTTTATTCAAATGAAAGTATTATAGGTTTGACTTATTTAACTGTACAGTAAATACAGTTAAATAAGTCAAACCTATATTAGTTTGATTAAACCTTCGAGCTGTTTCACATCTTATTGTCATGTTGAATAATTAATGATAAATAAATTTGAATAACTTGTAAGCAAAATANTTATTCATTCCAGAAAAGGAACTGCTTGCTATTTTAATAAGAAAAGTGGCTAAAATTCCGTAAATACTCTGAAGTAGAACGTAAAATATCAGCAAACTCACGAAAGTAGTCAAAAACAAGCTACTGTAATTTTATTGGTTTATTATAGGGCCACGTGTTTCCGAGTTGCAACGTCAACAAACAATGTGTGACCACGAGAAGACGCGCGTGACTCGCGCTTGTTGCAGTTGAAGTCGCCTGCGCGGCTAGAAATCGCATGGTGTGACCAGGGCTTTAGGGCTTCTTTACCATCATGAGTTCAGTCAATTCTGTGTCAGATTGCCCTTCTAAGTATTAGGGATCCCGGGAATTCTTCTTATTCTAGGAAATCCCACAAATTTTGTAAAAGTTCACTTTTTTCTTATTTTGTGTTAAGGTTGAGGAAATTTTGCAAATAGAAAGTATAATTAACTCATAAACTGTCAGAATACATTAGTATTTATTAATTTTAAGCCTGCTTATTAGTTTTTAAAATTTTTCTTGTTAGTCATGTCACAGATTATTAATAATCAATACGTAGCCTATTTGTGGTAGGACACTGAAAATTCTGTACTTGCCAGAACCTGTAATATTTTGAATAACTGCACTGATACTGTCTTAATTTTTAACCATGTTCAGTAGCTTCAATAACTGCATTATGCCAGGTTGTGTAAATTGGGCAAGGATACTAATGAGTATGAAGTGAGGTATGCAAATATGAAGTTTTTCTTCATAAACCTGATTATTAAAGCCAAACAAAGTGCCAAATTGTTGGACTATAAGCTTGATGCCACTATTAAAGTAGCAGAGGTAGACAAATGAAGAATATTAGACAGCAAAAGAAGTACTGCAATGCATCTTGAAAATGAACCAGAAATAGGGTTGCCAGTTTAGTGAGAAAGTCACTAAACTTGGCAAGTTTTTGCTTTTGTTAACACCTTTTTTTTTAAATTTAGCAACAGATTTTCCCCAAAATCAAAAATATTCATAAAACTATTAAATTTTATCTTTAATGTGCAATAATTGTGTGTATAAGTTGCAAATCTCATTTTTAATAAGTGCTAAACTAATCAAAGCCTAAATTTTCTTATTGTGACCAAATATGGTAAACATTTGTAAAAGGGACGGAGTTTAGTGTGCACTGGTGTTGCAACTCGCAGTCTCAGGTCCAATCATGGTTTGGGTTTGTCAATTTTCATAAAGTTTGATAGAGATCATTGTTACATTGTAAATTTGGGAATCCTTATAAGTTACCTATCGTGCATCATGAGTAACCAAGTGTCATTTTGTCATATTATTATTTAGTACTATTTATTTAAAAACTGGTTGCAGAAGAATTGAAGGAGAAAATACTAAGTGTCACTGCAAATATTGTAACTGCATTTTGATAGCAAAAGTAAGTGATTTAGAAATGCATAGAAAAACTCAAAAACACATAAAAGCCGAGCCATCATTTAGTGTTCAGTGGCATGTAAATATTTTTCATTTGTGAAAATCTTGAATGTTCATAGAACAGAGAAATATACCTTGCAAAAATGTTTTTCACTAATAATGCAGTGTTAACTTGCATTAACTTTCATTAGAAGAATATCCATACAATCTAGTAGAAAGAAACTTCCAGCACGTTAAACCTGTGGATGGAAGTAGCTCAATACTGAGATGCTGCCAGAGAAAATCTCTTTCAAGACTTGGTCAATTTTGTCTTAAGAATTCTTTTATTACCTCACTCAAACACAAAAGTAGTGTGTCTACATAGTCAAATGAATATTGTTAAGACCAATCTACGGAATAGATTGAATATTACTTCACTCAGTAGCATGTTAACAATTAGATATGGTTTGAAGAGATTAGGTAAATGAAGCTATGATTATGAATTGCCAGCAAATGTTGGAAAAATAAGTAAACTCATACCAAAATTTAGTTAAAGCAGGACCCATCCTTTGAACACATGAAGAAATTGAAGAAGTAATGGAATTTAGCAACAAATGGACTTTTTGAAGAAACTTAAAAATAGATTAATTAAAGGTTGATTTTTATTTTTTGTTTGGCTACTTTTTTTAGCAAATTTTGAAATTTTTAGAGTTTTTTTTGTTTGCTTTTATTTTTTGAGTTGGCAACTAGAAATCTTTGAGACTGCAGGTGAAAAAACACATAACATCTGTCTTCTCTTAAATGCATTAAAGATGATTCCATCCACATCAATTGAATCAGAAAAGGCATTCTTAGTAGCAGGCTTTTTCATTATTAAAATAAGAACTAGATTGAGTGATAGGAGTATTGACAATCTTTGCTTTTTAAAATCTTAAATACAAAATATTATTGTAAGTTTTTATAATATGTTTTATATAAAAAACAAAAATTACTTTTTAAGTTAGAAGTTTAATCTAAGTTTTTTTTTCTTTTACTTAAATTTTCATCTCAGTTCAAAAGCAGATTTTTTTTTATGTTGTTGTTGTAAGCAGTTTCCAACAAATTTTAATAAATGTTTTCTACACAATTCAAAGGTAATTTTTAATACATATTTTACACAGCATTATTATTATTATTTTGGAGGTAGCAGGATGTACTAAATTACTTAAGAAATGAAAAATAATTATATCACATGATTTCAAGATTTATTTTATATCTTAAAAATAATTATATCTTGGTATTTCTTGGGATCCCGGGAAACAGATCACTTTTTTCTCAAAATCCCAGGACAAGCAAAGAACCGGGAAATGAGAAACCCTACTAAGTATACTAATACGTTTTTGAGTATCATTGTCACTTCATTGTGACTAAATTTTATTCATCTTTTGGCTCTATCGTCATTAGAATTTGACCACCAGTCTCCACATTGTCATTAGATGAACAAGCTGCAATAATGTCTTTGTCTGATAATTGAAAGCCTCCCATCATTGTTTCATTCTAACCACAATCTGACATCATTGATCTCTATATATCAGGTGTGGCCAAACTTTTATCCCTTAGGGGCTACTTTTTTGGTAAAATGTAGTCTGCGGGCAACTGTGAATATGGGCAAACAATTTTAGGATTTTTATATGCACATGCGTTAACATTCATTTGCATTGTTCGTCGGGATAAATACAAATAGTATGGGTACGTTGCACAGACAGTTTATTATTGTAAGAATAAATTATCGAATTAAGATTTTTAAACATTAATTTAAGCAGGGGTGCACAACCTGCGGCCCGCGGGCCACATACGGCCCCCTATCAATGTTTATGCGGCCCGCGGACGGTACAGGCCAAATCCCTTTTTTCGAAGTTTCTAAGTGTAGAACTTTTTCCCTTTTCACAAAGTCATTAGCACCCAACTGTTTTATGACTTTCCCTGAGGTGAGAAATGGGGGATTGTTCTATAAATAAGTCTATTTCTATCTAACACTTTCTGGTTTAGATATCGAATATTTTAAAATGATGTTAGAACGTCATTTCCGA